GGTAACTGTCATTAGTGAATACAGTTGCCATGAAGGGGTGTACTTGGTCTGCAACAATGTTTAGGTAGGTTGTACGTGTCAAAGTAACATCCACATGAATGTCAGGACCGAAGGTTTGCCAGCAGAACATTCCCCAGCGCATCACGCTTCCTCCACCGGCTTGCCTTATTCCCATAGTGCATCCTGGTAGCAGCTTTTCCCCAGGTAAGCAATGCACACACACCCAGCCGTCCACGTAATGTAAAAGAAAACATGATTTATCAGACCAGGCCACCTTCTTCCATTGATCCAGTTCTGATGCTCACGTGCCTGTTGTAGGTGTTTTCGGTGGTGGACAGGGATCAGCATGTGCACTCTGATCTTGTCTGGGTCTACTCAGCCCCTTACACAGCAAGCTGCAATGCACTGTCTTCTGACACCTTACTATTAGAGCCAGCATGAACTTTTTCAGCAATTTGTGCTACAGTAGCTCTTCTGTGGGATCGGACCAGACGGGCTAGCATTTGCTCCCCACACACATCTTTGGGAACCCATCACCCTGTCACTGGTTCACTTGTTGTCCTTCCTTTTACCTAGTTTTGGTAGGTACTAACCCCTGCTTACCAGGAACACCCCCACAAGACCTATTGTTTTGAAAATGCTCTGACATAATCGTCTAGACATCACAGTTTAGGCATTGCCAATGTCACTCAGATCCCTACACTTTCCCATTTATTCTTGCTTCCAACAAATCAACCTCAAGAACTGACTGTTCACTTACTGCCTAATATATCCCACCCCTTGACACTGTGCCATTGTAAGGAGACAATCAGTGTTATTCACTTCACCTGTCTGTGGTTTTAATGTTATGGCTGATTGGTGTATATAAATAGTGGTACTTTTTTTTGCAGTACACTGGCAGTGGAAGCAGAATGACATTTTTAAAACCTGGAAGTTAGTTTGAGAGCTTGCAATTTTAATGTTGTACCTGATAATTTGATGATATTAACCTTTTGAACAACTGTAAGTTAACAATGTCTCTTTATAGTTATATATAATTTTATATTTTATATATTCAGTGATATATGCTGTAAAAAAAAAAAAAAATAAAATAAATAAAAAAAACCAAAAAAAAAAAAACACATTTATAGCAGTAGCTCATTTTTGGGAAAAGGAAAAAAAAGCCAGAACCTTATAATTCTGAGGTCTTGAGTTGCGTCAGTCTCAGAAAATCACGTGGGTGTGAAGTGCATGTCACCAACCCTGAACATACCAAGAGCGGTGCAAAGCAATCTCTGTATTCAAACTCACGACCTGCAGTTCCACGAGCACGAAGACAGACGTCAGTTTGAGGAAATGTGTGCTCATTTTTTAGTTTAAGCCTGCAGTTCACAGTATAGCACCAGGATTCACATAAAAAAAATTAATAAATATAAGCAAAAAAATTTATAAGAGGTAATGAGCTGATCCTAGCAAAAGAAATACCTAAAGAAAAGAAATCCTAATAAAAAATACGAAATGCTGGGTAGTGATTTCCTTCTGATTTCCTTTAAAGGCTATGCCCATTGCTTTAAATATGTTCTTGTAGTTGAGATGTACAGCTCTATGTGACATGTTGTCTGACAAGCTTTATAGAACGTTAGGAGAACAGTGCAGAACGTTTGCAGAATTTCAGGCCTTGTTGTTAGATGAGGTGGAATGTCTCTGATGTGTTTTTTTTTTCATTTTGGTTATTTTGCAGTTAAATGAGGAAGTGTGATTTGAACTCAGAGTGACCCTTACAACAATCTATACAAAAATCTTCATTTTTATTTAGCCAAACAGTGTTCTGTTTGCTTAAGGCAAGCTGTCTATTCTGCAAAAGGATTATCTTCGAAATGTAGAACTGTTCAATATGTACATCGGTTTTCATTCTTTAAAAAGGTTCTTGAAGGATTCTTTAGTAAACACAGTTGATGTATGTGTATAGAATCATTATCATTTAAAGGAGCATTAGGTAAGCTTAGTCTTATTTCCCCCAAGATTAGATGGTTAGGTGGGTATGATATTTAAAAAAAAAAAAAAAACATTTTAAATGCTTGAGCCCACTCCTCTCTTCCCACCCATGTTCAAGAAACTCAACAGTGGCCAATCCAAATACAAACCAGCCGTCCTTACCTGAAATCAGATTTCCAAACGGGTTTCTCAGCCACTTAGTACACTTTTGCTAATGCTATGATATAATTAATTGTTGTTGTTTTTTCTATCATGTTCTACATATGCTTCATGCTGTTTGTACAAGTAAGTAATTTAAAAAAATCGACAATTGCAATTTTAAACAATGTTAAAAAAAAATTTTGCTTTTTAGAAAATTGTCCTTTTTTATTCAAATTATGCCAAAGTCCCTTTCCCAAGTTCAGTGATTATATTCCCTCTGACATCTAAAATGTAAAAATGGCATGTGTAACAATACGAGGCTCTTGATTTGATAAGCCAGGTATCGAACAATTCAACAGACTATTCAGCATAAAATAAATGGCATACTTATATAGCGCTTTCATCCAAAGCACTGTGTCTTATTCACCCATACACCAATGGAAACTTGCCCTTGGGAGCAACTTGGGGTTCAGTGTCTTGCCCAAGGACGTTTCAGCATGTGGAGTTACCTGGGCCGGGAATCGAACCGCCAACTGGTGAAATTCCCCCATTGGCCCTTATCTATCATGGCCCCCTAATAATCTCCATCCCTGAATTGGCTACATCACTCTCCTTTCTTCTCAACCAATAGTTGGTGTGTGGTGGGTGTTATTGCTCACTATGGATGCCATCGTAACATCCAGGTGGATGCTACACACCGGTGGTGGTTAAGGTGATCCCCCCCATCCCCCCTAGTTCCTAGAAAAGTATTATAGAAATCTAAGGAATTATTATTATTATTATTATTATTATATTATTATTATTATTATTATTATTATTATTATTATTACATGAGGTGTAATAAACATTTAAACATAATCAAACCCACACTTTCTTCTCTGAATACGTATACTATGGTGGGGTTAAAAACCATTCTTTTCACTGTTTTTCATGAGCTAGTATGCTAACATTGCATTTGTGCCAACATCACATAGACAAAGACATGAAGACATACTTTCCTTGAGAGTCACATCTGCAGGGTTGCCAGGTTTATGCTATTCACAGCGAATTGGCCAAGTTTTGAAATATGAAGATGAAATGTTTTCATTGTTGTTGATTTTTGCATTTTGATAACTAGTCCTTATTTCATATGTACATTTTCTTCAATTAAAGATCTGTTGTGTGGCAAGTTATCTTTATGATAAAGGTTTAGTTTCAAAACTTTATGGTCTTGAACATAATGAACATAATTGTGTTCTAGTTTATTCATTGCCATTATAAAGGTTACAGACAGGTGAGCAGTTTGTAGTCTAACAATCAAATGTTTCAAAACACCTAGTCGTATAATGTTTTTTTTAATTATTATTCTTTGCTATTTTATATGATTTTGGAATAATTATGAAGACAATAACCCTATGGAATAATACTTAGAAAAATTTTGCATTGGCTAAGAAAAGTTAAATTCAATTCAATTTGATTTTCTTTGTACAGCACTTTTAACAATGGACATTGTCTCAAAGCAGAAACTGTTGAACAAATCAAAACTATTTTATATTTTAAATTCTGTACAGTATTTCTGATGAGGCTTTACACACACTCTGCATCTTCTCAGCCAGCTTCATGGGGAGCTTCACCCAGAAGTTTCCAAATAGTCCGAGCTCCTTCCCTTAAATTCTACGTGAATTTCTATTTGTTTTGGTTGAGTGTATCCAGGTTTTGGCTGGTAGTGAAGTACAGTGATTTCAGAATGATTGCTAAGTGAAATCTTTTTTCAAATATAGCCCATAATGTCTATAGAAAGTCAATTATGGAAAATAATATCTTGCATCTACATTTGATCCCTCAAAGTCAAATTATATCTTGAAAAAACATTGATTTAAAAACCACATTGTATTTAGAGCACTGACATTATGCTCCATGAGTGTAGCTTGTAGCGTCTAGAGGCAGTTTTTTATTACGTCTATTTGAACTGTCAGTATTTCCCAGTGGGAAGTGAACTTCCTGAGTAGGCAGACTTATGATGGGTTGGTGTAGAGTAAGTTGGCCTCTCTCTCTAGTTTTTTTTGGACATGGTGGGGTGATGCAACACCACAGATACAGCGTGACAAACACCTGCTTCTGGTGGAACATGCAGAGCTGTGAGCACACCACTTCTCTTACTAATGACACTAATGACTTTAACCCACTCGCTATTGCATTGTACCACAATAAGTAAATGTAGCATGACATGTAATGATCTCTTCATGTTAACTAAGCTGGAGAAAAATGAAAATTGCACTCGCAATCATACAGCTATAGTGAATATCGGCACTCTTGCTTGTGCGATATTGCTTATGTATATTGCACTGCTATTTTTTCCTAGAGTTGACCCTTTTGAGGCATAAAATTGGAGCATTTAGTATTACACCAATAAAATCTAACTAACACAAATTGGTTGTATTTATTTCATGTGCCTTCTTCTCTATGTTGGTCTATCAACTAGCTTTGCTAACGTACAGAACACTATCTTCTCCCTAACATATCCACATCCTTGTCACCCAGATTTTCCAAATAGTTTGTCACAATACTTTGTCAAGCATCTTGATTCTAGGCTTGCGTTTCTGAGCCATTTTGTAGGTTTGCATTCTCTTCTGGATTTCTAGTATTTTGATTATTGTGTGTTCATACTGACTGTGAACATTGCCTGTTCTGTTCTGTCCTGGCTGCTGTTGTTTAATCTTGTACCATTTTTAGATTTTTGCACTTGCTTACAGTAAAACTTTATCCTGCTTTCTGGAATCAATAGTTACAGAAGACTTGCGAAATGCAGAGGCAACAGATTCCTGGAAGGGAAAAGCAGTAAACTTCACAACACCATGACATATCTGTTCAATCAGTCCCTCCAGTCCTGGCACACCCTGTCTTGGGGTAGTGGTGGCTAAGTGGTTAATATGTTGGACTCTTGATCAGAAGGTCATGAGTTCAAATCTCAGCACTGCCAGCACCGCCAGCACCACTCTTTGAGCAAGGCCCTTAACCCCCAACTACTCAGTTGTATAAATGAGATAAATGTCATTTGCTCTGGATAAGGGTGTCTGACAGATGGCATAAATGTATTGTAAAGTAATGGTAGAACACAACTGGTTAGAACTTTCCCTGCTGCATGTCATGCCAGAACCCTAGGAGTCCTCCATATGCACCTTTATATAGATTTCTTCCCTCCACTTTTGAGACTTTTCTTGGTACAAACCACTGTAACAAATCTTTTCCTGTCTTGTTGCAATGCTTGCTTCCAGCAATGCAGGGAAATTGGAAATGAGCTTCAATTTCCCTCCAAATACACATCCATCCACTCCAATCAACAGTCTCCATTCTTACCCTAGATCAACTAGTGAAGGCAGGCATGGTTATGCAAAGCATTCCTTTCCCAGTTATCCATCTGTCCCATGCTCGGTCTCTAGAAATTATCTCCTGGTCCCCCCAGTGCCAGAGAAATTATCAAATTAGCCTGAGCATCCACCCTCATTAGTATCAAACAGCTCAAGACACTTAGTGCTGCCCTCAGATTTCACTGCTCCAGGGACTGATATTGTACATTGGTATTCTTGCCAGAATTACTCCTTTGTGCAAGTTATTAAGACATATTAAGAGAGAACATGCCCAGCACTCACTGTTCCACTCAGCATTCTGAGATTGTCTTATTTCTGGGAAACATAAGCTATACCAAAGTCCTTAATGAGTCTGGGAGACTGTTAGTGACCTGATCCAGATAGCCATCTGCTGCCAAAAGAAACAGCTCAACCACTGCTACATTAGAATACTCAAACCATTACTTGTTGCGGCGCATCAAGTACTGCTAGAGTCATTGAGTACTCATAACTGCAGCTTCTGTATCTGATAAATTATTCCCTTCTTAATGAGTCCTGGTCACAGGTTGAAACTATCAGGTGTTCTCCTGGAATATGTTGGCCACGGTCTTTCAACATATTGACCATACTCAGTATCTGAGGTTGCCTACTTGTAGTTGTTGCCTACACCTTCATGGTGAAATTATGTCATTTGCCCCTGGGAGTGGTCCCCGAGTTGGTGTAGCCATTATTTGAAAGCAATGCCTGGATAGAGGGAAGTAGAGCGGGTTTGACCACATACAGCAAATCATTTATTTGTGAAATCATCACATCATCTTTGTAATGTTAAGGACTGATTATGGACTCACACAGCACCATGACCTATTTCACAATGTCTGAATCACACAGTCCTTGTGACCCATGCATAAAGGCTAACATTGCTTATGCTTAGTTAAAAGGTAGAGTTTTTAAGCCTAATTACCAGTTGACAGGTATGATCCAAGAGCAAGACTGTTTAAAACCAGACAATACAAATCACCTGATGCAGCTGGTTGAAATATTTACTTTACCTCTATAATAAGTTGAAAGAATTTTAAGAGTAGCCTTATGTGACCCATTTGACTCATTTTGGCCATGGAGCACTAAGGCTGAGGTTGTGGATTGTCAATAGCACCTGGATACAGTGTGTGTAGCAGGACAGTGGACCAGCTATACAGCACACACTGACTGACTCTGATCCTGTGTGTCTGTAGGCAAAGGCAGTAACTTTTACAAATGCATTTCCTGACCCCTTCTTTGAAGTAGATAGATACAGGCCTAAATTAGGCTTTAGTTGTATTAAGAAACTGTGTATGTTACTGCTCAGTGTTTTGGAGGAACTTAAAGCTTTTCTATTGCTGCGTACATGCATTCAAGGTGTATGTAGTTCCTGACTGGTTTCAATTCTCTGATGAAGGTAAAACATATTAGTGTTTTTCTATTCAGTTGAAACACTGGGTCTCATTTTCTTTTTTTCTGATCATTCATTCATTTTCAGTAACCAGTTTATACTGGTCAGGATGCAGGTGACTCCAGAACCTATCCCAGGACAGGACAACCACTGAGCATAGCAAAGCCACCTATTGGTATGTTATGTTTTTGGACAGTTGTAAGAAACCAGAGAACCCAGAGGAAACCCAAGCAAACACTAGGGGAACATGCAGCACATTGCACAGACAGTAACCTGAGCTTGAGATCAAATCTGGAACCCTAGAACAGTGAGACTGCAATGCCGTGCCAATGTGCCACCCAGGTCTCATTTTTGCTTGTGGAAAAGAATAATTTTTATTACTGAATGTACAATCTGCAGTATTTTTAAATAAATTAATTTTTTAATTAAAACACAAAGTTGTGTTGATTGGAATAATTTATCGAGTGAACTGCTGTGTGCAGTGCATAATAAAAGTGTTTTTTATTTTTATTTTAATCATATAAATATATCATGGCGCACAGTGGCTTAGTGGTTACCACATTCACCTCACACCTCCAGGGTCCGGGGTTCGATTCTGGAGTTTGCATGTTCTCCCCGTGCTGCGGTTCCTCTGGGTACTCCATTTTCCTCCCCCAGTCCAAAGACATGCATGGTAGGCTGATTGGCGTGTCTAAAGTGTCCGTAGTGTATGAATGGGTATGTGTGTGTGTGTGTGGGTGTGTGATTGTGCCCTGCGATGGACTGGCACCCTGTCCAGGGTGTACCCCACCTTGTGCCCGATGATTCCTGGGACAGGCTCCAGGTTCTCCGTGACCCTGAAGAAGGAGTAAGCAGTAGAAGATGGATAAGTATGTCACTTATCCTTGCTAAACTGTAACTGGAAAGGGGCAAAACAATGCAAAACTCTATCCTCTTCTAGGTCTATAGTTTCAGTCTCTGAGTTTTAATCAAATTTCAAACACTGTAGAAGTAAATATCTAACAAAGGAATAGGTGAATTAAGAAATGTTTTTTATTAAATGTTTAATGAATTGAGAAATGGTAAAAAATATAAAAATAATAATAATAATAAATTGCTTTGTTATTAGAACAATCTAGATCACATATAATCTAATCATCCATGACTCTAATTAGTCACTTGACGCACTAAATAAATTCGCAAAGATATTTCAAGTCTAACAAACTGCAGTGTCTATAATGTCCTTGTTTAAAAGCTCAGATTGTAATAAAGCCTAACACAGCTTTTACAGGACCCATACTCTGACACATTCCAGTTCACTAGGCTTCAGAGTGGGGCAAACATATCTACCTTCTTCTGTTACCTATTTATTAAAAGCTAACCCTCTCAAATTGACAGCATGCAAAGAGACAACATGACAGAAATGGCCTATGGGTGTTACATTCCCCTTTCGGCCTTTGGCAGGCTGGAATATCCTAGCAATGCAGACTAGCCACTGATGTCATTTTGTGTGTGTGGTGTGTGTGCGTGTGTGTGTGTGTGTGTCTGTGTTTGTAAATGATGGACTACTAGATTGTCACCCCACTGTTGAACATTCCTGTTGTACAAGCACACGGGGGGCACTGCTGATTGAGAGAGAAATTGAGAGAGAGGATGAAAGACCCGCGGGGATGGAGTAACAGAGCGGTCATGTCACATGGTCAAACAGAGATGATTTATAGTTTATACTGTAGTGAGAGACGAAGAGAGACGATGGGAGAGAGAGAGAGAGAGAGAGAGAGAGAGAGAGAGAGAGAGAGAGAGAGAGAGAGAGAGAGAGAGAACACCTTTTGAGCGAAATGACAGACCAATCAAACAAAGCCAGTTGAATCTAATCACTAATCTGAGCTTGCATCCGAAACCAAGAAGTACTTTTAAATTTAACAGTAGTATGTAATTAATGTTTCTTTGGCCCAAATTGTGATGATGTCCATAAGACTGAAATAATTAGTGTCTGGCTAAATTTGCTCATTTAAAACCTTAAAACGTTCAAATAAAATATTAAACCATATTCAACCCAGATCAAGACATGACTTTATTGATCCCAAGAGGAAATTTGTCACGTTCACAATGGATAATTCCTCCCCAGACCACCAGAGGGCACCCTTACTTGTCTTTTTTTTATTTCTTCTTGATTGGGCTCACCTCCTTTTGTGTTTCCTCAATTAGTTCCCTATTAAAGCTCTGTGTTTTCCCTCCTCAATGGTGGAACACTGTGTTTGTGTATAGTTGGCATGGTTTATGGTATGGTATGTTTGCACTGTGGATGGCTTTTGAATTCATGTTGAGTTTTCTTCTCTTTGCCTTGCCTTAGTCTAGTCCTTTGTTTTTGTTGTTTTAGTTTTGGGGTCCTTTTCATGTATTCTGTGGTGTGTTGTGTGTGTGTGTGTGTATATATATATATATAATATATATATATTTTTTTATTCGTTGTGAATACTGCACAGTGTGTTTGTATCTGAGTTACCAAGCTGTTGATTGATTATTGCTACTCTGCGGTTATGATCTTTGCTCTCTCCCTGGTTTTTGTGTTTTGGTTTTGCTCTGACTGTTTGGTTTGCACATCGTGAACTTTGCTTGTTTTTGGATTATGACCTTTCCTATTGATTTAGACGTGTTTGCCTGTGTATCTTTTATAAACTTACTCTGCATTTGCATTAATTTTCCACTTAGCTGTTGTGACACCAGGTCTACACTTTTTTTTTAACACAAAAACCGCACATCAAAAATTTATTCTTTGCTTATGAGTTGAGATCAGTGGTCTTGCAACATAAAGTGATGTCATCACCAGTGGCTGATTTAATGCCACTGCAACCAAAGACAAAGTTCTGACAGTGTCCAAAATTGGATTTATATTATTCTCAGAGTGATTTATATTATTCTCTTATATTATTCTCACCAATAAGAGGACAGAATGGACAGGGGAAAAAATACACTTGTAGGCTGACTGACATTCCCAACTTCACATTGTGTGAACGCCTGTGCGATTGTCCCCTGCAGTGGGTTGGCATCCCATTCAGGGTGTCTCTGACCTTGTGCCCCAAGTTCCCTTGGATAAGCTCCAGGCTCCCGCAAGACCCTGTGTAGGATGAGCAGTATGGAAAATGGATAGATGGATATTACTATACCCTAAGCTTACTTTGAAGAATGTATCTATTTCTGCACTAATAAATGACATAAGCAAGA